TCCTCCTCCTCCTCCTCCTCCTCCTCCTCCTCCTCCTCCTCCTCCTCCTCCTCCTCCTCCTCCTCTTCATGTCGTCTCCTCCTCCTTATCCTCCTCATCCGTCTGCTACCCGCCGAGTTCGCGACGTGGACCACGAGAGCCGTGGAGAGCAAGGCCCCGCGGGGCAACCCAGAAGCGGCGGCATAGGGCCCGCACCATTGCCGCCCTTCTTGTGATTGGCAGTTGGCGAAATACATCCATTCCTACCTCCCTCCCTCCCGTCCCATCCCCCTCCTAACCCTCCTATTTCATTGTCATCAGCATCATCATCATCATCATCATCATCATCATCATCATCATCATCATCATCAGCATCATCATCATCATCATCATCATCATCATCATCATCATCATCATCATCAGCAGCAGCAGCAGCAGCATCAGCATCAGCATCAGCAGCAGCAGCAGCAGCAGCATCATCAGCATGATCAGCATTAGCAGCATCATTATCAGCAGCATGATACCAGAGAAACAATCATAACCGTTTAATAATATAGGGGTATGGGGCTAAAGGGCTAGAGGGCTATAAGGCTACAGGGCTATAGGGCTAGAGGGCTAGAGAGCTATAGGGCTATAGGGTTATAGGACTATAGGGTTATAAGGGTATAAAGTTATGGAGCTATTAGGGCTATAGGGTTATAAAGCTATTGGGGCTAGAGGGCTATAGGGCTACAAGGCTATAAGGATCTAGGGTTATAAGGCTATAGGGCTACCGGGAGGGCACCCGGGCACCCTGGCACCCCCGGGCACCTGGGCACCCGGGCGTGCCGCGAAAATCGGCGGCAAACCTAACCTAACCATATGAATCCGCTAGGACCCCTACAGAGGCAACCTCTGATTGGGGAATCAGCATCAGCATCATCCTAAATGATACCAGAGAAAAACCAAATCATAATCTTTTAATAATATAGGGCTAAAGGGCTAGAGTGCTATAAGGCTATAGGGCTATAGGGCTAGAGGGCTAGAGAGCTATAGGGCTATAGGGCTATAGGGTTATAGGGCTATGGGGTTATAAGGGTATAAAGCTATGGAGCTATTAGGGCTATAGGGTTATAAAGCTATTGGGGCTAGAGGGCTAGAGGGCTATAGGGCGATACGGCTATAAGGATCTAGGGTTATAAGGC